CAAAAAGGGGGGAATCTTACATAAAAGTTAGAGATGCCATTGTACTCGTAAGCAAAGAGGTACCTCCCAGCATCAAACACAACATGGTTTTCCCTGGCAAGACATGTTCAGAGGCATAAAGGCACAGCTGTCTGGCACTAAAGGTTGCTTGGAAAATGGTTTCCACAGGTTAAGAGACTGAGGAATGCACTGTGACCTTGCAAATGCAGCTAGTCAGTGTACCCAAGCATCCCTCAGTTTCACAAGAGCAGCTAGCCCACGTTTATAAAAACTGGGCCAAAACAACAGCAGCAGACTGCTTCTCATTCAGGCCTGACCTCACAAAGCTGACCAAGCACACCATCCTGAATACGCTCCATGAATAAAAGATAGCACAAAGCCCTTACAGAATCATATAAAGATATGGCTGGAAGGGACATCAAAAGCTCACCTAGTGCAACCCCAGGTTCCAGGCAGGATCATTCCCATCCCAGAGAGGTGTCTAACAAAACCCCCCCACAAAAACAAACAAAACCACACATCCAGGGAGGGTTTCTACAATCTTTTTTTGTGTGCGTTTGTTTTGTGAACCTATTCCAGCCCTTCAGGCTTTTGTTGGTGCCAACAAAGGCAAAGACCTAACTTGTAGCTTCAGAGATTTGACATTTTAGGAAGAACTTCCTAACCATGGGTACATCTATACTGTTTACCCTAGGGAAGGCTGCTGTTAAACACACTCTGCTGCTATACAAATCCAACGGAACCCATGCTGTTTTTATGAAGCCTAGGGTCCAATTTGATTGATCAACCCCCCCCCAAAGAACAACCAACCCCAACCCCCCCACACCAAGACACCTCCCAAGGCAGCTTCATTACATGCAAGTAGAAGCAGCAGGACAGGACATGCTCAAGACAAGCCCACCCTGAAAGCACCAGGGAAGGGATACAGACATAACTTCTTGTTACATGGTTCCTCCAGGTATCGTGAACCCAGACGCTGGGTTTCTGACACGTTGGTACTGTAACCTGAAGGGATGCTGGCAAGACAAGTACTTCCAAGGACTTGCCATCAGTACCATTGCCCACAACAGGTCAGAACATTTCCGACTCTATGGGGTCCTCCAGTGTGGCACTGCATAGCGTCCTGGTTGTGAATCACTGATCTAGAAACTAGATATCCTAGCCAGAAAACCTGAAGGCCCACTACTTCTCAGCGCTTTAGCTTTTTCCAGTCAAACTGATGAATGTAGGGAAGGGAAATTTTAACAGCAAAAACATGAATATGAAGTTTAATACAGAATGATTTTGTTCAAGTTCTTCAGGATGTGGATCTCAGATCATTTTTATCTATAGGATGCCTAGCACACCCTTATTGTATAAACAGTCCAGACGACAGGATCTACAGTATTTGAGAGTAGACTGTCACTCTGGACCTTCCACATGCTTCTCCCCGACCTTTGGCCAATTACTGTTCTCAGTTTAAATCCTTACTAGTCCAGTTTGGTCAGGCTCTGGTTGTCCATCAAGACTACTGCATTGGGAAGTATTAGTCACCAATCACTTTGCTTCTAACAAAAGAAATTTCTAGACAAACTCGAGGCTGTACTATTACTATTTATTTCTATTTCTTTAGAAAGGATCCAAACAGACTAGACTATATTCCCACACAATATGCAAAGCCATATACAAAGCTATGGGTGCCAAAGTTTTTCTAACAGTATACACACACACTATTAGAAAAAACAAACAGATGACAAGGTTTTTCCTCAATTGTATAGTATATTGTTGTTACTTAAAATAAGTGAAGATCTAGTAGGAAGCAACATCTTCCCTATACAGTTCCATATACCAGAAGACACTGAACACTCGGTGTGCGCATCTGTCAGCCCAGCCTGGCAAAGAGTCATCTCTAGTCCTGATACAAAGTGTGACCCACCCTCCTCCAGGTCATTTAATTCTTCAAGAACAGAAGACACATGGAAGTGAAGAAATCTGTCTCTACCCTCCATTCATTCCCTGTTTGTTTGGGGGGGTTTTTTTTTTTTTTTTTTTTTTTTTTTTTTAAAGAGCAATCCCTTCCTTATCTCTTTCCAATTGCCAAGCAAAAGACAACACACACATTCCAGAGATGACAGCCCTCATCCCTCCCACAGTAATTGCCATGGATTTGGCCACTTACAGCATGCTTGAGTCAGACGGTGCTAACACACGGCCTGCCCACAAGTACCAAAAAAATAAGCCAGACTTGTTTTGTAGTTGCTTTAGTGTGTACCAAAGGTGGGCCCGGTGTTGCCTATACACCTGCTCATGAGACCAACCCTGGGCACACTCGGTACTGCTTTTAGCAGCAGCTATGGAGACATGTTTCCTTCCCTGGCACACAACAAGCAGGCGGAACAGATGCTCATAGCTCTTACACACAAACAGGACTCATCAGCATCAGCACCTGGTGAAAGAGTGGTATAAATAAAAGCAAAAATGCTCCCAACCCAAGGAAAAGCCTAGGCAAGGAGCTGAGAGCTCCCATCCCGAGTACTCCCCTCCACCCCTGCTTTGCACCTATGAGAAGAGCGG